AATCTAAATAACGCAACAGAAAACTCTTATTTCTCCAACAATTATTTCGCTCTCTTCAGGTCACACAGTAACAAAGACACTATCATAAAATACAGGCGGCATCATTACTTCTTCCTAATTCTTACCATTTCAAGTTTTAACTTAATCTATTTTCTCCTTTCCTCTTACTCATGTTGACTTTGAATGAAATGTAATCAAAATTCAATAAAGTAGTAGTTTCTAGTGGTAATGAAATGCCAAAGTATGATGTTTGTTTTGATTGCTGTGTCAAAATATTTCATCTTGCAAATTTGGTGAATTGTTCTCCTGGATAGTTTCAGTAGAGATAAACACAGGAAAAGAGAGAGAGGTTAAAAACTGGACTAAACCTGAATGTATTTCTTGCCTGTGGGGCTGCACAGACAGTAATTTCCTTGTTTTATGTCTTTGTTCTAAATCAAACAGCACAGAGACCAAAGGCTGAACTGAGCGCTGACAGGAGAGACTTTCCAGCAGGGGGCAGTGTGACCCTGAGCTGCTCTGTGAACCCGTCATCTGGTTGGAAATACTTCTGGTACAGAGGAGAGAAAACCTCTGAACCTCTGAACACACAAGATGCTGTCTTCATCTCAGATGGACAAATCAGTGTCTCACAGGGAGGACTCTACTGGTGCAGAGGAGGAAGAGGAGACCCAGTTTACTACACAGAGGACAGTGATCCAGTCAGCATCAACAAAATTAGTGAGTTTGACATTTGATTTGTTTTTGAAACATAATTTAAAAACAGTTTGGAATCCATAATTATTAATTGATAAATAGATTTTGCTGTAGATTTACCATTTTGTCATTTTTGTATCCTCACTATGAATTCTTGATCATGAACAGTCCCAAACAGGGCTGTTGTGACTCTGCAAACAAACTGGTCTGAAATATACTCAGGAGAGACGATCAGTCTGAGATGTGAGATCAAGGACGGAGGAGACACTGAGTGGGAGTACGAGTGGGAAACAACGAGCTCATACAAACCTTTAAAAGACAGTGAATACAGGATTAGATCTGCTTACTCATCCCACAGTGGAGACTACAGGTGTAAGGGCAGAATGAAAAGTGCACAGCAGTCTTCAACAGACTGGAGTGATCCTGTCAAATTAACAGTATCATACAGTGAGTCACATCACATTTCTCTCAAAGTGAATATTATTCAGTTCATTTAAAGGTTGTTACATGTTTTTATTCTTAAAATCCCTCTCCAACAGATAGACCCCAGTCTGTCCTCACTGTGTCTCCATCCTGGCTGAGTCCTGGAGCCTCAGTAACTCTGAGCTGCAGAGTTAAAGATCCATCTGCAGGATGGAGGTTCTTCTGGTTTAAGGCTGTTCCCAAACTATCAGCCAACTCCTACAACCAAGAGGGACTGAACAGGATTCCTACATCGTTCATGGACAGACACACACAGCAGGATATAAGTGCAGAGCTGGAAGAGGAGATCCAGTGTATTATACTTCTTACAGTGAACCAAAGTTTGTCTGGTCTGGAGGTCAGTTTGTTTCTGTCTGTGCTTCTCTCAAGATGTTTTGTCTTCACCTCGGTTCATCCACTTTCTGTCTGTGACCAACATACAGTATCTTTAAAACTAACACTTATACTGACAAATAATTGGCTGTGTACATTCATGCTCCCCCAACAGAAGAAATGTATTGATTGTGGTGACCTTGTGATCTTTCCTCTCTCACCAGCATCAAGACAAACTTTCTGCTTTCCACCTTAATGAGTGATTTTACATACTGGACTGGGAGGATTTCCTTGTTTCCTTCCGTCTTTACACAGTTTTCCTTTTTTTTAATTCATCTGATAGCATAAAAACACCAAAAAGAGACATTTTGCTGAAACTTTTTCTTTATTACAATGAGTACTTTTACTTTGGATACTGAAGCTCATCTTACTGCTTATACTTTACTGACACAACAGGCAGGACGTGTAGTTAGAAGACACCTGGTTAGCGGTCAGGTAGGTGTGAGACAGACAAGAGTTAAATTTAGGAAATGACCAAAGTCAGCAGGTTAATAGACAAGTTGAACAAACAGAGACGACTTTAACAAATAAGAGGAAAACACTGACTGTGTCTAGAGAGACAATGCAGCACGTTTCAGTTTGAAATACTCACCTCTGTATCTTTGAAAGATGGCAGGTGAAAGTAGGTAGTTTCCCACTTTACAGACAACAGCAGCTGTAGTCACTTGGTTGTTTATCATTTAAAATAAACTCAGATTGTAGCAAGTTTTCAAGATAGAAACCAGTTTCACCAAAACACTGCACCTTGTTTTAATGTTTGTACTAATACTCAGAAATAAAGGAATATTTGCGTTTTAGCATTTTAAATCTTAAGATCTCTGTTTGCTTTGACCCATTATTACATGTTGTTTTTCAGATTTTCATTCATCAGCGTCTCTCACAGTGAGTCCTGACAGAGTGCAACACTTCACCTCTGACTCTGTCTCACTGAGCTGTGAGGGAAACTCTACTGAGTGGAGAGTGAGGAGGTTTACTGAGGACGACTACCCGTCATACTCATCACACTGCTCTTACCGGGGCACAATGACTGGATCCACATGCAGCATAAACAGTAACCAGCAGAGTGATGCAGTGTACTGGTGTGAGTCTGGATCAGGAGAGTTCAGCAACGCAGTCAACATCACTATACAGAGTATGGTTTCATTATGTTTTCTGTCTTGTATAAATTATTTTAAACATCATATTATGTGTTTCAACATACTGAATATTAGATGTTGTGTACATTTACACTGAGGAGGATGATGTACTGACAATCTGACAAGAGTTTGGCCCATTACTGCTTCATGGTATCTGAGTAATTAACTATGAACCAAAACCTTTTATCTATTTACTGTAGATTTAACATATTTTATAATACTTGAATTTTAATGTGAGTTTTTAATCATTACTAAATAACATCAACATTTAACATTTGTACATAAAAAAGTTAAAATAAGAAAATCTCCCCTCTTTTGTTACATTTTGTTGTCTTTAATCATTCACTTAAAATGCTTAAGATTTATTCATTGATTTGTTTTTCCTAAAGATTATTACACAACAAATATTATGAAATCAGGTAGAAAATCTGACGTCCTCTGCACTGCAGTATAATTCAGTCATGTGCTGATCAAACAGGTAATGCCAAATAATTTAACTTAAAGAAACTGACTGCACACCAGAAACTTCTGCTCTGGACCAACTTCAAACATCTTTGGTTTTTATTTAAAAAACTGCAAACAATATTTCCTGACCATGTCAATATTTCACAGAGATTTTTAGTGTGTTTTGCCCTTAAAACTAAAGATTTTAACCTTCTCACTGGTATTATTGTGTCAGTTTCATCCACTTTCTGTTTCATATGTACCCATTAACAAAGCCATAGACTTGACTTATCATCGACTGCAGTCAAACCACAAGTGTTTCCCTGAGGTTTAAACCATTTTGTAAACCACTCCCTAAAATCTATACTGGCCACCAAATCTAATTGTTTTCAGTAACATAGTAAGTATTTAATAAAACAGTGATTTTAACCATGTACAAATGTCACAGTCAGTTTTTATCTCATTCTGTTTCCAAAGAGAGCACAGTCACATGTCTCCTGCTGAGGCTGAAACACATTTCATCACCTTACTGTGACGATGACTGGATGTAGCTATACAGAAGATTTGTGTGGGTTTATGTTTGATCTGTCCTTACCGTAAAACTTTAATGAATAGCCGAGTCCCAAATAGCCGCCAACCCCGTTTACTGGTGTGGGTAAACATTTTGACAAATAAAAGCAGGTCTCGATTAGACGCCTGGTCTGTTTTTATAGAAGTTCTTTGGATGTATAAAACCACTTAAAGCTCGTGGGGGTCGCCCTCTTTAGCTGCTTCTAGGCTGCATAGATTGTGAATACAATTTTTGTTGGTATGGACGTGCTGCACATTGTTGGATCAGTTAGATTCTCCACAATTTAATCTGTGATCTCTTCTCATCGTCCTCCATCCACTTATTCTGAAGTTCTGCAGCAGCTGATCTCTGACTGAAACCTCATATTCTGTTTTACAGATGAACATATTATCCTGGTGAGCCCTGTCCGTCCTGTGACTGAGGGAGATCCTGTTATTCTCAGCTGCAAGTTCAGGACAGAAAAGTTAGTTTCAGATGTGTTTTTCTATCGAAATGACAAACTGATTCAAAATGATAGCAGAAGGGAGCTGAACATCTCTGCAGTGTTGAAGTCAGATGAGGGTTTCTACAAGTGTCAACACTCAGGAGAAGAGTCAGCACAGAGCTGGATGTCAGTTAAAGGTGAGTAGGATTAAACAACTGCTGCATCTTCTTCTGTGTAAACTGTGTTTCTGTCTGAGAAAGAAACATGGTCAAATACTGACCTGAATCTGAAGTAGCATCAGTTTCAGCTGATTTCACCTGTTGGAGCTGGAGAAAGTCTGCATCAGTGGTTGTGACAGTCATGTTTATTGTGAATGGATAATTTCACACTGTACTCTGTTATATAGTGTACTATAAGTACTCATGTGTATCAAACATTACATGACATTGAGACTGGGATTTATGTTGTTTATCTACGTGCATATGTGTTTATACCTCTGCATTTGTGCTTGAATGTGTTGTAGTTGTGACATGACTAAAATTTTTAATAAAGCACATTTTGTTAATGAAAAGCGCTTTAAGCTATAAGTTAACAGTTATTTATTATTTATTGTGTTATTATATCAGTGTCCAGACCTGAAAGCTCTTCAGTTCCTGTACCGTTGATTGTTGGGCTGGTTTGTGGAATCGTACTTATTCTTCTTCTGCTCCTTTTGTATCGCTACAGACCGTCCAAAGGTGAGACCTTTTCTTCTTTTATTAGATATTATGTGATTTTAATTATTCAAACACACGTGTTCTGATCTCATCACATAGAATAGCAGAATAACAACTTACAAAACAAAACCATGTAACAACAAATGTCTTTTTCACAGATTCCTGCTCCATCAGGTTGGTACAACACTCCCTTCTCTAATTTTGAACACAACAGCAACATTTCTTGTTCCTTTTTATATGTATTGTGTTTGATTCATGTTGTAGGCCAATCCAGTCTGAGAGCACTAATCGAGGCCCTGACACAGTTTATGTGGTCGACCAGAATGAGGCTCAACGTGACGAATACTCCACCCTTCTCCATGGTCAGCATTTAAACCTTTGATTATTTTATACATTTATTTATTTTACACATACACATGTAGGTTGCACATATATACATTTCAGGAGCCATTTAAAGCTAATCAGAATATGTTTAATAATTGTCATGCAATTAAATTGATTAATCTACTCCGGGCTTTATTTTCACTGCTCTGTAGGTGATGTTTGTCTCTATGAAACAATCAAAGGCTCCAAAGAAAATGAAAATGGTACAGTACACACCTTGTTATTCATCCTCTGAAAGTGAAGTTCATATGTTTGTGTATAATATATAATACTGTATAAACACACACAGACAGGCTGCCAGCTGCTTTCACACCTGTAGTTTGCAGGAATTTGGGGTCTTATCAGATGGTGTGGGCCGGAGCGAAGCACGTCACCTTCATAATGGGGTTCCTCACCAGCTGGACCTGTACTATTGTTTTGTTCATCCTCTGCGAGTCCTGCAGGACTGTTTCTTGACCCAGGGGTTTTGTTAACAGGAAGGTTTGGAAAGTTTACTCAGTTATGTGCAGAGGGAATGAAATTCTGGTCACCACGCCACAATTAGTATCATGCAATTAAATTGATGAATCTCAGCATGGTTTGATTTTCACTGCTCTGCAGGTGATGATGCTCGTCTCTATGAAACAATCAAAGGATCCAAAGACACTAAAAATGGTACAGTACACCTTTTTATTCATCCTCTCAAATTTAAATTGAACATTTTAAATATGAGCTTATGTTTTTCTTAAAGTAAGCACATTTGGTTTCCAGAGCACTTGATAATATTTATTAAAATTAATCAGGATGTCCAAGAAGTCTTAAAAACAAGAATCTTTTATTTAAAATAAGATTAATGGTATTCTTTTTTCTGGATAACAATTTTACAAAGGTATTACCTGTACAGAGTCTTTTCCAACCAGGTTTTGAACCTACAATCCGACAATCTTGAAGCTGGGAGAAAAATGTGCCAACTATTGAGCCACGGATTGCCATGAAAGTTTGTAAAGACATTCATGTTCCCCAGAGGATGGAGCTGAATGACTTTGATGACTTTTTTCAAATACTTTAGTTTATTACCAGAAATAACACCAAAAACGTTTATAACATTCTTAACAAATGTGCTGCCATCAGCATTCAGCCCAAAGCACAGCAGCTTCACAGGTCGCTTTCATGGACTCTTAGTCTCGTTTATTAACAACAGACCCTTGATGGCACATGTGATTAATATGATGGAGTTACTTCAAAGTTAGTAAGTTTGCATTAAGTTCTACATGTGTTTGTCTGTCTCTTCCACATGTGCAATCATTAATGTAAATGTATTCTGGTTTATGTTATTTCTATCCGTAGAGAAGAGTGTTAGGTCACCTTGAACAATTAATAAAGGTCCAACTAGAATTGCAAAATCTGATATTTACCAGAACGAATAACTAAAAGCTAAAATTTAATAACTGGGTTGTCTGATTATAACTTAACCCTATGTGCAAGAAAGTTGACTAAAAATAAATTTGGAAATAAGGCAAGTAAGACAAAGATTTTTCAGTGCATACCCAGATCTAAGCAAGAACAGTTTGTTAGTGAAATTAACACATTGAACTGGGATTATATATTGTCATCTGATCAACTGGATATGGGCTGTAAATCTTTCTCATCATTAGTCAATTTAGTGAGGGAAAGATTTAATGTGAGAGTCCACAAAAAAATGTGAGAAACATAATAATTTACCCTGGAAATTGTTGAAATCTAGAGATACTGCGCTTAGGAAGGCACTTAAAACAGGAAGGGACACTGATATGTTGGTATATAAAGGTCTAAGAAATAAGGTTGTAATTGAGCGACTAACATCGTTTCTTACACAAGTAAGTTTGGTCTACATTGTGTGCAGTTTGGCTTTATAATAAATAATTCTACAGAAACTGCTACCTTGCACTTGATAGAGCAAGTTAAATCTAGGCTCGACAAAGGAGGAGGAATTAGTGCTGTATTTATAGACCGAAGTAAAGCATTTGATACAGTTGATCATGATGTGTCAATATCAAAGCTCTCCAAATTAATTTTTCATCTAGAATCTATAGACTCTGTAGCATGAATGTTCACATATAGTTTAAACATCAGTTTAGTATGTGACAGAGCAGGTCATTTGAGGATAGAGACCTTTGATTAAACTAGGTTGTTTGAAAACAGAAGACCAGCCACAGTAGAAGGAAACTTAATACAAATGAGA